ATTTCTAAAAAAAAAATTAAGAAAATGTCAAAAGGGGGGTTGAGGGGGGTAAAAACGGGCAAATTGCAGATACATTTTAGACTGCTTATCACGGCCAGGTTTCTGAACCAATCTTAACGCAACTTTTGCCGATCGATAAAGAATGAACCAGGAATTCACATGGATCCTAAAAATATGCATTTTCAAAAATCATAGGCGGATACAGATCATTGAGATTGGGGGTACACAAAAAGTATAGCAAATAAGGTTTTTGTTGGTACTGTTTCTAAAAAGGGTGGTAATGGTCTTGTTATGTTACAATTTTCTTATGAGAGAACGACTACAATTGTATTGGTCATGCATAGGCGGTGTCAGGGCACCTATGTTGGGAGGTAAAACATAACCCCCCTTTTTGGACGCCTGGATCCGCCTATTATAGCAAAAACGTGTCAAAAGAGGATGCACAATAACTTTGTATATGTTATCACATGATAAAACTGGTGCATACAGTTATAATACATCAGCATCGTGATCATCGCCCAAATGACTCGCTTCACGAATAGGACCCCCCAATTCCCAGTGCTCTGGAGCCGCCCTTGGTAAAGTTATGAACTTGAAATTTTCAGGGAATGTGCCCAATTTAGTTTTAGGAAAAGTCAGAAAATTTCAGCATCGTAGCTTCAGCGGTTTCGGAGATATTCCCGAAAAACCTGAGGGGTGGATGAAAACAACCCCCCCTGCCACTAATAGGGTTAAAACGCAGCTTATCAAATCGCTTGAGGCCGAGAAACCAGGCACCGAATGAGAACGAGGGAGGTGACGGCGATGCTGCTACAAGGGGAGAAGACGAATCTGTAGACAATGCAGAAGGCACGAAACTCCGGACACTGTTCCTCTCTGAAAGGACTGACAGGCATTGGGACGGTGAGGGCAGTCGGAAGACAGCAGCGGCGGACGGAGAACTGTAGGAGGACGACAGTTGGTCTCGGTCGGACATAGAACGACAGTCGGTCCCCGGTACGCGGAGAACAACAGCCGGCCTCCGTCGCGTCGACCCACAGCTCCATACACGGTCACGGATCCGGCGGAGACAGTTGGTCCATAGCTGCTCGCCCGGTGACCGGCCGTATAAGGGCGGCGCGCGCCGGCCGGCAGCAGGACACCATTCAGACTGGCTTCCACGGCAGCCCACTGAGTCAGCGATGATGGCCGATAGCCGGCGCGACCCTTGTAAGGCGCGACCGGCCGCCGCGGTGCGGGGGAGCCGGTCGGCGGCCGGCGGCCCGCCTCATATGGCTGCCGTCGGTGGCACATGGGACCGGCACGTGTCGCGCGACGCTGCCCGGCAGCCGGAAACGAGCGGACGCCCAGCGGGTGCTGATGAGGCGGCCAGCGCGCATCAGTCGCCGCGCCGAGGGAAGGAAGCGGCGATCCTCAATCCTTCTCTCATCAGAGCATCGTGCTGAGTAGCGAGGAGCACACCGGTCCACATTAAACCTTGCACAATGTGATCTTACCGAAACGGGTGATCATCTCATCACGACCATCTGCCCTCGCCAGCAGCAGCATATGATCACCGCGAAACAGACGCCCGGCCAATGCATAACAATGAACGAGGAAGTCAGTCTGAAGCCCTCTAAAAAGGCAGTCCACTCAGAGGAATGTGCTCTCAATAACTAGCAGCCTAGTTTTGGTTCCAAAAGCAGCCAGCGCTAAAAAGCGATGTTCACTTTCGCATAATGAAATCCTCTCTGAAACACACCGAGATCTACAGAAAAGTATCTTCAAATTACTGAGAGGCGAGAGCTGATAGAGTATCGAGCTTTTACGCACAAATAAGGGACGGTGTCCCTAACTGTTGTCCATTAAATCAGTCGTCATAATCCGCATTCCACCAAAGCTACGCACACTTCCATCACATCTCACTCTGTGCAGTTTTTTTTTTCTACTAATAGTCCGTTACCCATGATCAGGCAACCAGGAGTGCCCCCACCCTCAGTCCCAGCGACGCACAGAACCCTTACGTTAACACCAAAATAAAAATCAAAGTTGAAAAGTCGCGGCACTCCCTGCTAAGAAGAGGAAAAAACATAAAAGAAGCGGCGTTGACTACGTATGATATTATTTAACTTGGTTAGTAGATACAGAGAGCCATAGTAGTTAATGCCAAATCTAGCATCAACTGTCCGCTAAGGGTTCAATCGTACATTGTTAGTGAGGAACACGCACACACTCACTTGGAAGGGGACATTAGTGGGGTAAATCAGGTCTGGTCTAATTCATGCATGTTGTCTTGCCATCCCTCCCGATGCCCTCCAGCTAAGCCGAGCTTGTTGCAAGAGAGTCATCGGGAGAGATGGGGCCTGATATGGTGATTATATGCGAGCAAACATTTCCATGCCAACACTCTCCCAGTCTCACACTCCTGCGGCCCGCCTGGCCAGGCCAGGGCGGTATCATTCACCAAAGTTAAACACCTCCCCACGGGAAGCCGTATCTATCCCCGGTCCCCCACTGCACCCTGTGGTGGGAGCATCTCTCCGGACAGCATGCAACCACCAAGACACGGCCATCCGTCAGAGCCCGTCACCTGTTCTGACACACGGCTGGCCAGAGCGGACAGATGAGCCCAGTGGCCAGTGTCGGGTGTTGACAGGTCGTGTGTCGAGGGCGCGACAATTGACAGTCGCAGACAGCTACCAATGAAGCATGGGTGCTAAGAAGGAGCCAACGAGAAGGAGCCAACGAGAAAGAGCCAACGACAGAAGACCAGACCCTCGTCAGTTTAGGATAAATAAGATGTATAAGTTTTTCCTTCCTTGATGCCAAGACAGTTAAAAACAGTTCCTCCGATTGAAGATGACAGAAGCATCAGTCGACAAGAGCCACAATCTGCACGATACAGCCACACGCTGCAGATTGGCATACGATAGAAGCTAACATCTTCGGGACCCAAACAGACCTACGCAAGTTCTTTATCCTGGTCAGCAAGCATACTCTCCATAAGCTTCGAACATCATAACTGAAAGCGGCAAGCCTAAACGACACTCTCAGAGACATTGCCAAGTAGCAATGCCTCTCCAGTTACGGAAATATCTGCAGCAATCATATTTCGCTATCCGTGAAAACCCGTTGGATACCATGAAGAGGCCTTCTTGCATCACCATACGGCCTCCACGCCATCCATATGACATAGACTGACTGTCCACAGATCATGGGGGGGGGGGGGCACCGCCAGCGGTCTCCGCCGCAGTGGAGGTGGTAGCAAGGCTGCTCGCTGGGTGGGGCAGGCAGGCACGGAGGCTCGGTGGCACTGTGCACGACATGGCTGGCCGGCCCCTATATGGTGCGGCGAACGGGTGAATGACTGGCCACGAGCGGTCAGCGCTCTGGTCGGTGGCCGTGACTACACGCTATCCACTGGCCGGGGGCTCCGAGCAGATATTGGAGCTACGACGGATTGAACAACAGAGACCTTCCTGAGAAGGTTGTGGAAGAATGACAGCGGGAAGAAGACGCCGGCTCATACCAGTGAACACAGAGGGGATAGAAATAATCTCTACCGGACGACTTGCTAACGAAATAACGAGCTTGATAAGCAGAATTGTGCACTTGCTTGGACAGTAAATATCCAACGAACAACCCAATCAGCAAGCGGGTCCCGACACCCAAGGCAATATCAAGCATTAATCAATTAATGTCGTTCCACTAATTATTTCGTTTTTTTTCGGTACATAGACATTTGTCACAGCCCGACGCCTTTGTGCAAATAATAAGCACTTCCAACCGTAGAAGCCATTATGTCCAACAATGAAACGTGCCTCCCAAGGACAAGGTAAACTGAATGACTAGTATGAAATGTTGACCTGGCGTTGAGCTTAGGCTATCGTGGGATATAATCGCGATTGTAACGTTTCAAGCCTGCGAAATGTGTTACCCCCCTCCCCCCGAGGGGTATTGCCGCCTGTCACGTGGTCGCTATGTTCAGGAGAGCTGTGTATTGTGCTCGGTGGAGAACGACAGCAGGGGGCCAGCCCAGGCCGTCCACCACCGATTCACATACAAGCACAGCGTAAGCAGCATCAACAACCGTTCACAGAACACACAGCACCGTAGCAGGCACGACCAATCGCACCAATCACAGACGCAGACTTATGACCGTGTGATAATTACACAGTACAAAACGGTAGCAATGCCTGGGTTCATCATTTCGTTGAAAACCGCAGCAGGCAATGAATAAGCACTAACAAACTAAGAAAAACACATTTTGCCTCCGTCATTATACGATCTAAAGTCATCTAGCTACATGACTATTTTTCCATATGGCACAATTATTAGGCAGCGGTAAAAGCATGTAACATCATAACTTATAAATAGATCCCAGGTCATTAGTTCCCCCTCTTTACCGCCGGGGCAAGGGGACACACTGAATCTACAGACTATCAAAGGCACTCCATTACGTATAAACTAGCGGAGGTAAGCCCGAGCCATCCCACTCTGGTGGGGGACCTTAGAAACACTCCAGCCATGTCTTGACTCAGCCCGAAAACTCTGGGTGCGTGATAGCCCAGCACGGTGAGATTCTGCCCTGACGTACCACCACGGGTGACCCACCAACTACCATTCTGGAAAGCACCAGCCCACCCTGGGGTCAAACCCGAACCAGTCGGAACTGCACAGCCCTCCATTCCTCATACCGTACTCCTTAGACTGCCCGAGCTGGGTATATCCTCCCCCTAACCGCATCTATTGGTCCCTCCCCCGCAGCCCCAGGGGAGCGCCACACCCGCCTACCGACACACACTGGGGAGATAGAATCCCCCGGGGCCCAGGCCCGCCTGCGACCCCTGGGAGTGGGGCACCGACACGGGCGGCGTCGGCGGCTGGCACACCATGCCGCCCAGCTGGGGCGGCAGCGGCCAGCAGGCCTGCGGCTGGCCGCCGTAGCCGCCATAGGGCGGCGCCAGGCCGCGGTACTCGCCGTAACCGGCGGCCAGGGGTTGCGCCAGCGGCGGCCTTACTTTCTGCTCGTCCTCGGCGCCGCAGCACAGCTCCGTCTCCTCGAAGCCAGTGGCCGACATGCGTTGGTCGCCGGGCCCCGGCGGCGCGCCGGCCGGGTCCGGCGAGTTGAGACACGTCTGGATGAGCGCCTTGCCCGCCTCAGAGGTGATCATCGGCTGCAGTTTGCGCGTGGCAAACGTGTAGACGTGGCCAGTCTCGGACGCCACGAGCAGCATCACCTGGGTGCCTGTCAGAGTGGACAGCTCGTACGCCTGCCGGACACAAGGGTGGGGCGACGGAGCGTCAGCGATGGCTTGTGCCCGAAAGAGGCGCAGTGTTGAACTAATAAATCAAAACCACAATTTATGTACAGAAACATGACCGTTGTACCCTTATGCAAAGGAGAGGTCGAAACTGATGGCCAGCGGTCTTTCAAGGCATTCAAGTCTTTCAGCGGTCATGCTAGGCAATACAAGTTCACCAGCGGTTTTCCGACAACAACTTTTGATGGAGACATGGAAGGGCAATGAAATCAACTGGAATGTGTTCAGGTCATCAATCGATAGCTCGATTGATGCTATCGAGCTATCATATGATCATATAGCTATCACATGCTATATGTTGCATAGCTACCATAGATCGATAGCTATGTATGCAACATGATTTTTTTCCGGTTGCTGGGGGGGGGGGGGTTTGAACAAGTCAATTTTCGTCCTTATTTTTTACGCTCTTTCGAAGGCCGCCTTCCTCGTATCACTACGTGGCCCAGGAGCTGAGTTAGAAGGGGGGACCCCTTCTAACTCAGCTCCTGGGCCACGTAGTGATACGAGGAAGGCGGCCTTCGAAAGAGCGTAAAAAATAAGGACGAAAATACTTCAATCATTTTTTGGTCAAGTCAAAGGTCAGCTCACCAGAGGTCATCGAATGCCAAATTTCGCCGACTATCAGGTCGAATGTCGGCAATTTTCATCAAACCGGCGCATAACTCGGAAACCAATAGAGCTACAGCGCCCCGGGAAAGCGCATTTGATAGCTCTATTAACGCCCTTCCTCCTGCGTAGTTCTTTCAGATTTGACCTGAGGTCAACGGTTTTGTCTCAAGGGGGCAAAAACTGCTAAAATAGACGATTTTTGCGGAAACAATTTTCTGTAACAACTTTTGACTGAAACCTCGCACGAGCACACTTTTACCGGCATCGTGCTCCTCTCGTCAAGACGTATCGAATTAACAATAAGTTGACCTTGAATGGTCAACTTGAAAATGTGACCTCAGGTCAAGGTCATGACCTGACCGGAACGCGTCATGTTGCATATCAGTCGATCCGTATCGTCGAGCTGAACACATCTAAGGCGTTTTCATCGCCTTAGCGTGACTACAGCATAAGTTATTAGCGAAAAACTGCTAGATGCCACTATTGGTCAGCGACGTGCTGATTCACCGTTCACGATCGCGGCTTTAACAGAGCGGGCAAAGCGGGAGGGAGGCAACTGCGACAGGTGAGGTGGTAGGCTGTTTAGCAGAGCTGCAGCTCGATAGCCGAACCGCCGCTATTTTCGGCCGACGTAAATTTGACCATGTCTCCGACCTGCGAACAAAACTCGGCTGGTTATCCCCGCGCGGTATGGCCGATTACCAAACCCTTGTCATCGCACACAAAGCCATACAGTGTCGAGAACCCGAGGAGCTAGCAGCCCTGTTCGTTACTAACAGCGCTATCCGCGAGCGACAATCCAGACAAGATTACCTCTTCCATCTTCCGCGTCCGCGCCTGGAAACAGGCAAGCGGCGGTTCGGCTATCGAGCTGCAGCTCTGCTAAACAGCCTACCACCTCACCTGTCGCAGTTGCCTCCCTCCCGCTTTGCCCGCTCTGTTAAAGCCGCGATCGTGAACGGTGAATCAGCACGTCGCTGACCAACAGTATGGGGGTGGGTAAGAGGGACGAGGCTCTCCTGAATGTGTTTTGTTCTGTTTTGTCCGTGTTTTGACGTGAGTGAATGTGCAAATGTTATGAATGAATGATTAGATTAGTAACCGCGGATACGGATTCTGAGCAGTAATCGCCACGCATGTTGATTGTGGATCGCTCTTAAATGTAAATACAATACAATACAATACAATACAATACAATACAATATGACCTGAGATGACCTCAGGGACATGAGGACTGAGGAGGGGTCACAGGTGGCATTATCCGCTTCAGTGTGCCATGTTTACTGGTAATTCAGTGTTTGAGTGTTAACCCGCGCCCCGTAGGGCTATCGGCGGACCCTACCACCTGTAGGGGAGGGGCCGTTTCGCCCCCCCTGCTAAGATCTCGGAAATTTACCGGCCGATTTTCAAAATTCAAACAGTGTTCGATAGCCCCACCGGGGAACTACCTTGTGACCAAATTTCATTGACCTAAGTCAAACCGATGACGTCACAGGTCAGGTCAAATGTCGGATTTTCACCGTTCACAGGCATTTCAAGAAATGTGTTGTGAAATAGAGTAAATTGGTAATTTATTGAAAGCCATCGATAGTACATTGTTCGGCAAACACATACTTTGCTATCTGAGGTCACTGATACCAGGTCAGGTCACAACGAGGTCAGGTCACCGGGGGTCACGATATGAAAGTGTCGTGTGATACATGTTTTATGGTCCATTTTATATGACAAATGCGATTATGTGGGTTAGGCAGCCTTTGGGGCCAGCCTGGGTCACATTCTGGTGAAGGTCAGGTCAAGGTCGGGTCAAATTATGTCAAATTTCAAAGTTGATATTTTTTGCATAAAATGGGTATTGATTCGATGCAGCTCGTCACGGGGAGTCTAATGGTGGTCTTTGTTCTGCTCCACAAGGCCTAGAATTGCCAAAATTGAGTTTGAAAATTTGACGTCATCATTTTTGAAGAGTTTTTTTTTTCGCTATAACTTGGCCAAAAAACGAGGTATCCATATGAAATTTGGTATGTAGATAGAAGACGGTAGGTACTATCACATATATTCCGTTTTTTTTCGAAACTCAAAAAACTTATTTGATTTTTTGGCTAATATATAAAAAAAATGCTTTTTTGATTTTTGGGGGTCAAAACTAAAAAATCTCAAAAATCCGAGATAGCAGTTTTGTAGCCCTGTCAATTCTACACCTTTTATGTCCTGATCATTTTTCTGTATCTTCAAAGCTGTAGGCCTGACAGGTCTTCTCGCGAAGGTCTTTCTTCGGTCAAAATGACAGAACATGACGTCATTCTGACGTCATTTGTGGCCGACCTATCATAGCCTCTGGAAAAATTTTTGGTCACGATGTGTAAAATTGATGCCCGGAGGGGTTCTGAAAGTTTGGTGGCGATATCTCCAGCCGTTTAGGAGATATCGACGGAAAAGGACAGGGAGGGGCCGTTTCGCTCCCCCCCCCCCCCTACAGGGCGCGGGTTATATAACGTTCGTCCAAAAAAGGCGCTATTCAATTTTCTTCCATTGAATTCAAATGGAAAGGGCGCAAACTCCCCTGACCTTATGTCACCGATAACAAAACACCGAAATATGAATTTTGTACATACCTACTGTTACTCTTATCAATCACTGACAGTTTCAAAGCGATCGGTCACTCGGTGTAGCTATGAAATTGGTTTGAAATTTTCACATGTGCAGAAAAGATGTGTGATAAGGTGTGCCAAATGACATATTCGCGAAAAACACCGCAGGGGGTGTTCACCGAAGGGCGCGGGTTAATCGGAGGTCAATTCTGGATAGTTCATTTCGATGCGTCTCAACGAGAGGAACACGACGGTGGCAAAATAAATTTTATACAATTGCTGGAGCCAAAATTATTGCAAATATTGTCGGAAAATTTGCTTCGGCCAAACTCCGTTTAATTTGGCGGTATTCGCCCCCTGTGGACTAAGCCATTGACCTCAGTTCAAATCTGAGGACATGTTAGCAAAATGCGCAAAGCCGAACGCTCTTTTTTTGCGACTCTAGGTACCTATTATGGTTCACGATTTATGCGTCGATTTGTAAAAAAACAAACTTAAATCGGGAAATTTGTTCGTGATTATTTTATGTTTGGTGGCCTGGAGTGACTTCAGCGATGCCATTGAAAATGACCTTTATAATTCTGAAAGACCTTATAGCAAGCTCTCTTTTCCTTTTTCCGTGTCTTTCAAACTTTTAATTTTCAAGCTAATCGGTTGTGGCCAAATACCCCCCATGGTGAAGTTGGTTGAGAGCACTACTAGGGCGCGGATTTAATTTGTGGGATGCTTCATTCATGACACACTAATGATGAGTCTCTTTCACTCTGCTGCTCGCCATAATGAACCTGCAAAACTTTTCTGATTCATTAGGTCCAGCAGTTCAGAAGAATGTATCCAGCGAAGCCGAAGCAGGACAGAGCTAAGCAGGTCAGTGTCGAACTGAAATGTAGCTCCCTCCCGTAGCCAGCTTGGTAAAACATACCTTTGGCGCGGTAGTGCCGGCCTGCGATCGAGCCGTTCCGCCGCTCGACATATGACACTACAGGGTCCGGCAAAAGTTCTGTCCTCTATCTATGACAACGCTTTCCAGTCCCTAATCGTCTCTGCCCCTATACAGATAACGGCTCTGGCCGCACCCCTGCATTGCACGGTCCTTGGCCGCGGGACGTGAAGTGGCGAACGGATCTCGGGTCACGGATCACCGAGCTACGGCCAGTTTCGCACTGATTGTCCACCCAAACGGCCGCGTCGTAAAATGAAGGTCTGAAATTTTATCTTGTGGAGCTGAACCAGACAGTAGGCATGCTCCAGGCCGAAATGACACAGCATGCCATTGCTGATCCTGCACACTCGGCATTGGTGGGACAAGCATGCGGCTGTTGGCAGCGTTGCTGATCGTTCCAGTTTGGGCGTTCGTCCAGCATTTCGACCGTGAAAGATATCGCATTGAAAGAGCCGGCCGGGAAGAGGGGCCAGTTGGCGACAATATCGTCCAAGCGGCTTACGCGCAGGGGCTATTCCATCTTCAGACAGGACCGTGAGGCGTGAGATGCTATTGGAAGAGCTTTCTGAGGCTCAGTACCTACAAGAGCCCCCAGCGGCTCACTTTTAAGTCGACGCATGGTCGATGGAAGGTCGACATGCATTTTCTTTCAGGGCGGTGCGCCGGCTCATCGCTCTACCAAGGCCCAGCGGTGGTGCGAATCGAACATGCCGGACTCCCAAAAGAAGGACATGTTAGCCGGCTACCATCCGGACCTAATCCTGATTGAGGAATTTCGGGCTATCGTCCGGCAGGACCTGGACGAACAGAAGACGGCGGCTAGCCTCAACGCCTTGCCGTTATCGCTCAAACAGGCATGGTCGAAACTCAAGCCGTCTGTGCTGCACAATCTGGCTGCCAGCATGTCAAATTGTGTTCGTTCGTAGGCCGTAGCACCCTTTTTGTGGGGAATATACTGGACGCTAAAAGGAATCGCCGCCTCTTATAAGGCAACTTAGAGAGCACATCTTTTGAGAGGACAAAACTTATGCCGGACCCTGTACTGACGGAGATGGTCAACGGTTGACATCCAAATAATCTCGAATACAAGACATCGCCCGACCGCTATCGGACGGTAGGGGTCAGGATGTACGCATTAAGCACTGCTTGGCGTGGGCTCTGACTCTCTCAATCCGTTTGTTCAAGCATTCGAGCTAAACATTCCAGCTCGGCCTCCGGAGGCATCATCGATGGAGGAGCGGCTCCTTCATAGAGAGATCGGACGGCGGAGTGATAGAGCTCCGCATCGCCGCTAGCCGCCTCTGCTCGAGCTACAGAGCAGTCTGTCGAGATGGTCGCACTCCAAACAGCTGCCGAATACCTTATACACAACCCCACACACGATGCAGAGACGATCGTCTTCTGCACAGACTCTATGATGGCGCTCACGCGCCTCTGTGAGGGACCTGCGGCGCAGCCGCAGCCGCCCGGAGTCAATCTCTAGAGAGCCCTGTGGATGACGCGTTCACCTCCAATGGGTCCCACTGCATTGAGGACTCCTTGGAAACGAATGGGCGGATACCCTGGCGGCGAGGCCTCCACACATTACCAAGAAGCCAGGGCGCTGGACCTCAGGACTATCCAAGGGGCGGCAGCAAGGCTGGCGCACACGAGAACGATAGCGGCCTGGCCGCACGGTTGGTAGTTGGTCCCGACAACTGGTGTGCCCCGTCTCTCTTCCTCTCGTCTCCCGATCCCGGGGGGAGATTGGCCGAGTGCCGTTGACGTGTAATAGATCCGCGTTGGTCACTAGTCCTTGTCCAACTAACACCTGAACCAGCTCTGCGATAGGCCCTCAACCACCTGCGCCGGGTGCGAGGACAAGAGATGTACAACGGCTCGGTGCAGGCTCTGCGGAGAGGAGGCGGACACCCTGGCACATGTCATGCTGAAGCGAACTGCCGGTGCCCTTGATTCCGAAAGCTGGACACTATATACCCGACATACGAAGAAGTACGCAGCGACAACGCGGGGGGGGGGGGGGTCCTGGGAGCCGCCTTCTTCTCCCTCAAAAGCCGATTGGCTACACCATTAGGCCGGAGGGAGACAACAATGACAACATCTAGCCTTATAAATAAAAGAAGGGCAATGTCGACGACATCTCGTGGTGCGGTGTCGACCCGCCAGCGCCGATCCTCGTGCTGCTCTATGGACCAGATGTATCATGGCTTTTGTGTGAGCCAGTGCTTGCCCTCTCAATTCTCATGTTACCATGCTGAACTGAGGTAACTCAGTTGCTATACCTGCTAGATATTCCACTGCAGCAAGGTAATGGTGTATTGCTACACAGCAGTGCTAGCCAGCATTATAGGTACCTACCTATCTGATCTTTTCCTTTCCCACTTTCCAAAATGCAGCTCTTATGCTCTGTCACACAAAGTCCAGGCCTTGTTTGATGATGGCTGGTCTGGTGTGTATTTTCAGACTGGTTGGTGCAGCCATGCCCCCTGGCATGGCTGTCCATGCCCCCTCTGCTGTTATGCTTTGCAGTCTGGGGTCAGAGCCCTGCTCAAAGATATGAACACAGGCATGGATTAACTTAATTCATCTATGCTCAGGGTACACCCCAGCCCTACCAACAAGGCTACCACAGCCAGCCTTGGTCCAATAGGGGAATGGAGCTCCTGCAAAAAGCATGGACAGGCCCAGTGCTGCTTCAAGGAATGGTCATGTCACAAATCAGCAGTCATATTGGTTTAAACATGAAAATAAACACAAGTAGAATACAGCCAAGGCAAACATTAAAAGATGTTACCTTAGCCATTCAAGCTGATGCAGATGCAGATGAGTCTTCGGGGGAATAGCCTTTGCATCGGCTCCCCCATAGGTGCCCTATTTGGTTATAGGGGTACTGGGAAAAGGATGAGGATGGAGGCTGCATGTCTTTCTACATTTGCTCATGTTCCTTCCAGACGCTTTTGACGGATTCTCCATAGACAGTGCAGCTTCTCCTTCCTCTCTTCCGCATCCTCTTCCCGTTCGTCATTGAAGAGAAAGTCTCTCATGATCTCCTGAGTGTCTTCTATGTGAGGTCGTTGTAGGGACTCGATATTACTTCTAACATCCATGAGTCTGTTACATTTCAATAGAAAGTGCTCCATGTCTTCATTCTCCTCTCCACATAGTTGGCATAATGTGTCTTCATCGGTGTGTCGTCTTCTTTCTTGTAATTTCTTTCAAGCTAATTGATGAACAAACATAGGCGCGGGAGCCGGGGGGGCAGTGGGGGCAGCTTGCCCCCCCAACTCTGGGGCCGTGGGGGCGGTGCCCCCACAGCTTTGAGACGGAATACCACACTTTTTTTGCAAATGTTTTCTTTTTTTGTTGAAAAAGCCGAGGGGTGAAAAATAAGTGGCCTAAAACCGGTGAGAAAACTAGATTTGGGGGTACCCTAGGTTAATCTCTATTATGGTGTGCCCCCCCAGTCGGAAAGTAGTTCCCGCGCCCCTGTGAACAAACTGAACTGAACATAAACATTGCATTCATAGGATGCTACAGACTTAACCTGCGCCCCGCTGGGGGGGGGGGCAGAATCTGCCCCCCCTCCCGTTTTTCGCCAATAACTTCTAAACGCGTTACGCTAGCGACGTCAAACTTTCAGTACCTTATCATACATCAATTTGACACGTTCCCTGAAAATTTGAGCGAAATCCGTCGGAAAATATTTGAGAAATTGACGTTTTAGTGACGTCATGTTCGCCATTTTCGCCTCAAAAACGGCAAAATTTCAAACGCCACTAACATCTTCATTTTTAAAGGAATCAAGACGTAACAAAAAAGGTTATACGTGATTCTACTTTGTCTATCAAATGGCTATCTCGGTTTTTTGAAAATTTTGGATTTTGGCCAAAATTTTTCCAAAAAACTGACTTTTTTGGGAAAATCATTATAAAATCCAAAATTTTGAGTTTATCGAAAAAACCGGAATATATGTCAAAGAAGTGGTCTATGTGCACCTACATATCAATTTTTAGAAGAATCGGTTCAAAAACGTGGGAGTTATTCAAAATTTTATGACGTCACGACACACAAAAATTTTGAAAAATGATTTTTTTGGAAGTTCTAGACCTCGTACGGAAACAAAAATAGCACCATTCGATTCGCCGTGAAAAACTGCATCGAATAGACACCTTTTTAGGCCTTAACAACCAACTTCAAAATTTGACCTCACTTGACCTGACCTTGACCTGACCTCGACCTGGAATTCATCCAGAGGTGGTCCATATCACTTATTGAGTGTGCCTATTGAATTCCATGAGTAAAATGACCCATAAAACATGTGTCGCAAATGCCCTTTTCTATAGGTATTTTGTTTTTGGTGACCTGACCTGACCTGACCTGACCTTGACCTTGACCTTTGAATGACATTGTGTGCAACGAATATTGTCTTGGTAGTCTAAGAACACGTTTTGGGCAATCAGTCTCAGTCCATTCTTCGGCAACTACGGTGCAAGGCCGATACTGTAGAAACTTGTATTTTGTACCCTTGACCTGACCTTGACCTGACCTCTGACCTACTTAAGCAAAAAAATTTGGGCTCTTAAGATCCGCCTTGTTGAGAGCTTTCGATTGCCGTTTTCCCCGTCTTTCTACGACCATCGGTTCGGAAGTTAGACAGGGGGGGCAGAATCTGCCCCCCCCAGCAGGGCGCGTATGGCTGAATAGCCCAGCGGGGCGCGGGTTAAGAACGAGGATGAGGATGAAGAATTCATCCCTTCACAGGAAACCAAGAACTTTATATTCTTACCTTTTTCATGATCCCAGTTTTCCTCTTGGAGAATGTTGTGTATCTTCTTAGTTTATTGTCAATATACTCCATCTTTATCTTCACACGTCCTTTTGTTTTCTTTGCAGTCTGTGGAGATAGCCCTGCGGCTGGCTGTCCCGATTGTGATGGAGATGACAGTGCTTGAGGTAAGGAAAATTTTCCAGACATTGAGCCATCTTCGTCAGATGTCATTTCATTGTGCCTCGCATCTGAGAAAGATGCCACGTGGTGGGCTTTCCCGAGAAGCTCACCATGTTGATCATAACCATGCTGATGCTGGTGCTGGTGAAGAGATTGAGCTTGAGCGTCACCAATGTTTTGTAGTGGGTCAGCAGAGTGCATTTCACTGTATGTTGGCACAGGAACTCCACTGGCAGACGTTGCCTGGGAAAGCCGTAAAAGGCCCGGCACACAAGCAGCACTGGAAGAAGGTAAATTTCCACAGTAAGCGTCTATTCCTCCAACACCACGGAACGACCCAAATTGTTCGTGCTGTGCTCCAGGGTCTTGTCCAGCGTCACTCCCGGGATTTTCCATCTCATCCACAATTGTCAACACCTTCAACAAAATCACCGTCGTTTCTAGCACCCACTATTCCTATCCGCATTACGAATGAGCCGCCATTTAGCAAAATAAACAACCCCCAATTTCGCACATGTCCACGCCCTGCCCACTTTTACAAATAAGGAAAGTGCGGAGTCAGCACGGAAGATTTCTTAGCACGAATAAATATAGTTCCAAATTTGAGAACAGATTTACAGAGCTCAAAGCTCTAAAAATCAGATAACACTTATCCTTATTATTGATGACGTATTTTCAATGAGGTACTGAGTTTTTGTGACTTTCTATAAAAGAAAAACCGTGCATCATTTTCCAAGAAAGTTGCCGCCCCTATGACGTAATGACGCAAAACCTAGGCCACGCCCACGAACAGCTGATCTGGCGATCCCTGCCATCTGGAAGAGAAGTTGAAATTCAATGGAGATCCGCGACGCTTTTATTATATCACTAGACAACAAATATGTTGATAAAACAAATTCATTCAGGCTGTAAGACCAAGCCCATTGTTGCTGGAAGTATCCAGGCACGTCTGCTTTACCACACAAGTAGTCTAGAGCGACATCTACAGGCTGATTTCGAGCGCCACCTGTAACAGAAATATGCAACATGCTCGGTAAAGTCTGTAACATGCCAGGGGCCCCAACCGGCTCATTCCACTGATGATTTGATCTTCGATTAGCCAACGTTCTATAACGTTGTTAAAACAAATTTGATGGTTGTTTGACATTAAGGGATTATGGTTAGAGCTTTGCCTGATAATTTCCAGTACTCTATTTTGTTTTCGTATTCGCGAAAAGGAGACAGCGAACCGACTACGGGAGTCAGAAATTTTAGTTTCAGTAACACCAGACCGCCTATGACTCAGTATTGCCAATAGCAAGCAGTGGGGCTGGATCCCGACTCCATTCCTTCCATTGAGCTCGCTCACCAAAGCCGTATGTTTATACAACACTGTTGGCTTTATTAAATGTAGAAACACATACTTATTTGCGCCTGCACAGCATGATCGAGTGACCACGAGCTTCCACATTGCACAATTCACTGTAGCATGCGACAAACCCTATACAGGCAGCAGCACGACCCCCTGTGTGCCGAGAGAAAGGCTCGATTCGGTCTGCAGCTCTTCTGCAGATTTCGTGTAAAGGCATTTGCCATAGATTTTCGGCAGCAATGGGCGACGCGGACACACTAAAGCTCCCTCAGTCATAAACTTACACTATACTCACCGCGAAATAGCTCGCTTTTGAAGCATACACTACACATGGGACAAAGGCAGTTGCACCAAATGGTTTTCGAAGGCCTCCTAAAACACTGCATAACATAAAATGACAGGCTGTAGTTTCATAAAAACGTTAATTGCTATATGAGCTAGCCACTGCACAACTTCTATAAGAAACCACACTGCAGGTAACTTGAACAACAGCTGCACACCCAAGCAAACATGTCAATATTTCTTAACAGCTTACACTGCTAGTCATGGCTTCGATATAGAAAACCTTGTTCGATAATCTGACTTCATGAAAATGAGGATACTACATTTGCTAAGAAATAAATATTATTTTAGCTAGGATTATGCATAAAGAAAACTCTGAAATTGTCAGCTGCGTACGAGAAGGCGATAAATAGAGCGCAAGGCACAGCCATTCATGTTAATTTAGGCGGACTTTTAAGAAAATTTAAAAACATCTACCTGGACGTTTACATCTCAGTCGATGTCTCTCATTCGATATCTCGATATCTCTGTAATTACAAAACTATTACGAGGTGAGCCTGGCCTTTGAGGCATCCTTTCTTTTGAGCCATAGTTAGATGCGTTGCGTTATAACGCTGCATTTCAGCAGAGCATTACCACACAGCATACACAGTACACAGGTCGTCCACCGATAACCAGTTAGCGTTACCCAGAAACACTGCGACGATGAGCACTTAAGCTTTGCATAGTAAAATCTATCACATATTATCACCACACACAAAATACGTTACATTAAGTAGCATCACAACCTAGTCAACTAGTCTTTTACACAGGTCGCATGATTTTTCACAGAAAACTTATACAAAATGACACTGATCTGAGACAACCATGACATTTACAAAGACCCACACGAAGGCAAACTCCATTGGCTGCGGTACAAAGTCGCTGACACGGGCACGGCGGACGGCGTGACTTCTGATTGGCCGAAAACTGAGGCACCGACAGCGGGCGTCGCCGATTCGCCGACGCGTCGGACGGCTTGGCTTCTGATTGGCTGGCTCTCGAGGCAGGGAGGGCCACCGATGGTCACGGAGAGGCGTTAGTGGTCTGTGGAGCTGTGGACTGAGTCAGTGTCGTAAGTCCAACCTCGGTCGCAGCACTGGACGGAACAGCGTCAGGGGCCGAAAGCAGCAAGTGCCATCTAAAAAAAAGCAACGGAGATAGCTCATAACGATAATGGAACTCCATTCGGCGCGTATAAGGCCCAACTGTCAACTCATACTCGTACACACTCACACTGCACACATAAAAACAAGCACGCCTGCTCACTGCATGCAGCTCAAAATCCCGGCCCCATCTCACCGTTCATAAGACCGTCGCAGCCGGCGGCCGGTGTGTTTCGACTACAGATAGGTAGCGACTCCCAGATACTCCGCGACAAAGACACGCAGTACCCGGTTGATGCGCTGCACCGTGGGGAAGTCGATGGCCCAGCCGTTATCGGAGTCGTCGTGCCACACCTTCGGGAACGGGTGCGGTATCAGGTGGAGAATCTTCACACCTGTGGGAGAAGGGGCGGTGTCAGGGCTGGAGCACCTTCATCCCTGTGGGATCGGAGAACCTTTGTGCCTACGGGAGGAGCGAGAAAGGATTCTCAAATGTCAAACGCAAACCGCAAAGGCAGCCACAGTATGAGTGTGCGGTAAAAGCGATCGTGGACGATGAACGGTGAAAATAGACGGGTCATGCAACACATTACTTTTTATAACGTGAGAATTAATTATGTTTTTTTCTATCCCAAGATTTTTTTTTCACGAAGAACAACAGCACCAAAAAATATAGCAGTGGCGGTCTCCAAACTACAGAGAGGAAATGACTGATAAAAGTAGGTGACTGACCGCGCCTCAGGAAAGGCAGGTGGTCGTCGCTGATGCGCGGCGCGCCCCAGGCGCCCCAGCTGTCCCGGTAGTGGAACACGGACGGCAGGTCGGGCAGCAGGCCGGCCTTGGCGAGTCGCTCTTCGGCCGAGACCAGGTGGCGGAACTCTTCCCGAGAGCTCGGCTGGTAATTACTGATGGACGGCAGCGCGGCACCCAGCAGGTCCAGCAGCACGAAACAGTCCTGAGGCAGACACACGGGGGCTGGTCAGACGACATTGATCCATACAGTCCTGTAATGTAAACACAGAAAACCCGGTCAGACGAAAGTGGAACAAAAATATGGAAAGTTTAAAAAAAAATATCTGAGCAGAGGGCAAGTCATCTGCATAATATCGTAATTATTTTCATCCTGATGCGGATTGTAAATGTACACTAATAATGTTCGTCAAAACTACGCATACGGGTTCGTAAAATTGGAGAGAGGTGGCAGGACGCGACGATTGTAGCCTTACTATGCGGTAAGCCTTATCATTCGCTAAACATTACTAGGCGGTTGGTTCTATTCGGTCGGCCTCACTCTGTGGTCAGCCTTACTATGCAGTCGGCCTTACTATGCGGTCGATGTCGTTGATGACGCTGTCCCCGGTACGCTGATATACGCTCTGGGCCAGCTCTGAGGCCAGGTGACGCGCGCCGTATATCGAGTCGGTGTCGGTCCAGTGGACAATGGCCTCCTCACCGTCCAGGAAGAGCAACTGCAGCGTCAGCTCCGACCGGCCCTGAGCGGGGAGACGCAGACAGTGTCAGGTCAGAGCGGCAGACTGGACACAGTGTCCGCTCCGAGCGCCCCTAGGCATAAAGACGCAAACAGTGTCAGTTTCGACCGGCCCTGGTCATACACACAGCTCAGAACGGCCCTGAATACAGACACAAAGTCAGTATCACCGGCACTGAAACACCAGCTAGAGCGTCAGCTCCGACCAGCCGTTAGCGGAGAGACGCAACAATACAGTGTAAGGTCAGAGCGGCACTAAGGAGAGTCACGATCACATAGTGTCAGTACTGCCAGTAACGAAAGAGCGCCCGGAGTGCCAGTTCCGAACGGCCCTGAATGCGGGCACACAGACAGTTTCGTCATCGATTGGCCTGCTGGCGAACCAGACGGCTCGCTGACTAGCTTCACTGAATGACTGACTGACTCGACTCACCTTCATAGGGTCCAGGTAGCGATTAGTAATCAGAGTGGCCATGTAGAGCATCATGGCGCACGGTACAGCAGAATCGGTGGCCGCTGTAACGGAGGGCAAGGTCTGTTAAAACGTTAAAACACCACCTAACAGCAAAAAACACGACCAATGCAAGCATTAAGCTTACCGTTTGGTAATGTGTGCAAAGCAGAAAATATGTACTTGGCGAACACAGGTGCTTCTTCAGAACCGATTTACGTTTAACAACATCAAGCCTCAACAAAGCACCAAAACATGGCGCGTTTTGTCACGACGGTCGCCGTGATCGACTGTGGCAAACCTCCACCGGGCACCGACAATATCTATCACCAATTGAGCCCCAGCTACCCATCCTTCCAACCACCCAGCTGCCATCCCTCCAACTGCCCAGCTAGTTACCATCCCTTCATCCAAATCACTGGTCACCCACACAGTCATTATTCCGTCCCTGCCACTCAACTTTCTATTGTATTGCCATCCTCAACAGTGCGTCACTGACCGACAAACGTGTCCCGTCCGTAGATGGAGTCGTAGTGACAGGCCAGCACCAGCCGGCGCGGCGCCGACGGGTCGTGCGTGGCCACGACGTTGGTGAAGTTCATCGCGCCGCGCGGCGTCTTCATCTCGAATGGTCGGTCCCCGTCCACCGTCCAGCCGAGGGTGGTCATCGTGTGCATTATGTGCTGTGGGGTGTCACAGCTGAGTCACTGTCAGACGTAGACCTCTAAGCAGTGTTTCTGACATGAGACAAGTTACGTTGCAAGCAACGAATGCAATTTACGTAACAATCATAGGCGACGGAACGAGTGGGCACCGGGGCACCGTGCCCCCTTTAATTTTGGCATTTTAACATTACCGTAAAGTGGGGCTATTTGAAACGGATTTTACAGTTTTTGGCCTCTCTCTTTAAAGAAAATAGTTCACTTCTTAACATGGGTTTTGAACTGGAATAGCAGTTCCGTAGCTTGGGCTGAGACGAGCATAAATCAGGAGCTTTTACAGCCCAACGATCACCCTAGGCAAAGATATTCTATTTCTCGTCCCGAAAAAGGTGTCTTGCGTTGAGGATGTGTGCCTTGCATATATTTCCATCCAGTATGAAAAGAGCATGGGTCCCGAAAATTCTTCAGAAACTAGAGAAATTATCTACGAGAACTCTAGAGAAATTCTCGTACTGATCAATTAGGACATTCAGGGGAACATTATCAGATCGAGCAGATCGCCCAAATGCCGGTGGCTGCGATAATTTCTCTGTTTCTGAATAATTTTCGGGACCCATGCTCTTTTCATACTGGATCGCGTGTGCCTTACAGAAACTGAAAAGTTCTTCCTATATCAAAATATAGAAAAAAAATCTTTTGTTATAAAAAGGTTTTATTTTCTTTGCTGATTATTTTGAACATAAAAAATCATAAATCGTTGCAAAAAAAAAATAATTTCGTGAAAGTGAACTATTTCCTTTAAGGCGGTTCATATTTCTTATAGCATGTAAATTGCAAAAATGTAGTTCCCTGTGAGCTCTTTCATATAGGTGCATTTTGCTTCAGCTAGTGATAATAATTAAGGATATTTTGTTAGCTAAAGCCTGTCTCAAATAGCCCCATAGTGTGGGGCTATTTGAGACAGTTTTAGTTACAAAGAAATTGAAGAAAATTGGTCACGCTAGAGATAATTTTTTAAACGCCATGCGATTGGAAATTAAATTTTGATCATTCTGGCAAAAATTATTTTTGGAAAGACTGTTATATTTCCTTTGTATTCGATCTTTTCCTTTTTCGTAGGATGCTTCATTTCGGTAGGCTATAAAATTGCATCACTATATGCTAAGGCTATCATAATATGATGTGACCCTAAACTTTCAAAATGACAGGATGATCATTAAGGACCATTTCAAAGTCAACGACAGTAAAATTTTGAAAGAAAGTTTTCGTATATAACCCTGGTGGCGTGAAAACAGATATACTGAAAGTCGGTGGGGCTATTTGAGACAGGCTCGCTACCTTATGAAGCACGCTGTAATGAATCAAACGAGCTAAAATCTTTCCCAAAACATTCAAGTGAATGGTCTGCATGATTCCTTGTTCAATTGCACATCTTCGTGCGAAGAAATAACCGAAAAATGTTAAGCGGTTTTGATTTTATGCCGATTTTCCTCGATCGCTGCATGCTGTATCAATTGGCCGGTTACCCTACCACATCAAGTACTTGCATAGGCTAACCTAACAGGACGTTCTTGTGTTAAGTAATCTTCAATGGTGTTTTTGGTCAACCAAGGCAGACATGTGTTGATTGTCACTAAGTCAGTGACTGATGAAGCACATTTTAAGCACATATTCATCAGAATAACTTGTTTGGTCACCAGCTAAAGGGTCATTATGTTATACTACGAACATGTAAATATTGCTTGCTGCTAAAAGTACCCAACATGAACCCACTGCACGTTTATGACCACGACCGATTCAGCGGCGTTGCTCATGTCGAACGTTCGATGCACTTCAAGTAGATGGTGATAAGTCTTCTCGGGTGCAATGGCATCACCATTATCAGTAGTTATTAGGCATATCGGTTGAGGTTTGACCAGGTGGGCATCATCGGGATTCTGAGACAATGGGCTACGCAATCGGCAGTAACGTTAATAATGTATAATATTTTCATAGAAAATGTGCTTAGCCTATAAGTAAAACGCTAGTAACGATAGATCCAGTAGCGAAGCTGTCAAAACTTCAACCATGTTAAGCTGCAGGGGGGGTCCTTTTCGAGCAACTTAAATTGTGCGTTTTTCTGGATTTCGTATTCTATGCCAAATTTCTTTCAAAACTTTTCGAAATTTTCAAAAATGTTATAACAGGTCATTCACTGTTCAATTCCACATCAGCCTAAGCAAAAATGACGAAAAAGTATCAAACGGTTTTCATTTTACAGCGGTTTTACTAAACCACTACCTTACTGTCTCAAATAGCCCCACTGTCTCAAATAGCCCCACTTTACGGTAGCCCTAATGGGTGTTGCGTGGGTGTTGCATGAAAAGAATGGGACCAAAAGTCGGTAGTGCCCACCCCCTTAATTGAAGGTGTTCCGCCGCCACTGGTAACAATGGGCTGCATTAGCTACCTGCACTAGCTACTAAATCATTAGGTGTATTTGTTCAGCTTGGTGACTGCTACAAACAGCTGAAGCAGCTCAAGACTGCTCACCTGTCTGACATCTTCATGTTGTTGTGTGCCAATGTACCGAGCCACCATCATGGGATCCAGCAGACTGGACCACAGCTGGGCCTCCAGGTCCAGCTCCTGATCGAGCAGGGCAACAGTCTCCAGCAGACCAAACTTCTCCAGATGCTGTGGCTTGTGATCACTCTGCAGGAAACAAAATACTGTGAGCAGGGCACAAGCAATAATGTTGAGAGGGTAGTGTCGCTGGGACTTGGGGCTGACTGAGGGCTGCATACTTGGAACCATAAATGGCCATAATATGATTGAATGGATAACATATGTGTGACATCTTACTTGATTACAACTGTGTTGGGTATGTGCCAGATTTAGCTAAGATCTGTTGATGGAGTCTAAGACTGAACCAGGCACCCTGCCATCACATGACTCCCAGGTCATGACACTGGGACTACAAGGCAGGGTCCCTAGCGGCCTTCCTACAGCCTTCTTGAGGCTTGAAGTTCAATGGCATATTCTAGGTATCTGGAATTGAAGGAAAAACTTTAATATTATTGTGTGCCCAGCAATCTATGATTATGGACACATTTTGATGAAACTAGACTTGACTTGTTGAAACCAAGGCCCTAGTTGAAACTAGCAGACACTGGACTTTGACTGATGACAGAGTGTTGTTCAGTAGGTAGTAGGTAACTTAGATACCTGTTTGAGTTTCCCAGTGGAACTGGCTGAGCTGACTGACACAATGTAGGTGCTCAGCAGGCACCAGAAGGTGCATACTGTCAGCAGAACTGGAGCCATCAGTGTACCCATCCTGCAGCTGAAACAACAAAAAAGCAATGCTGATGCTAAAGTTCTGCACAGTTAGCAAATCTCACACACATGAATACCACTTCTTCCTTGTGTAATGAATTAGGATATGAAACCTTGTGCTCTGAGGTCAGAACAGCACGTATACAACACATGTGCACAAAATTTGAGCCTTTGACTATAAACGATCAGGCTGTGTGACCCCATATGGCTGGCAGACTCCAGAACCAGACTGAGGGTTGTGGCCTCATGAAATTTGGTGTCAGAGGACAAAAGTGGCCCACCCATTTTCATTTATGTACAGAATTACAGATATAGCAGCTGCATCACACATGCGGCATGAGCCCTATTCTGGGAAACAACATGAACACTTTGCTCCACTACCAAGTACTTGTGCTTCAGTTTCCATGGAAGCATTGGTAAACTTGGCAATTTGGCTTAGGTTATCTCCCAAGGAAACCCAATGTCAATGGTTTATATAGCCTTGGTCAATACCCTGATGCGGATAGTTGCATGCAATTGCATGCTCGATGCTATGATCCAACAGTGGAAAATGTGTGAAAAGGATGTGAAATTGAATAATTATACCATACTGATACAGGTCAAGAGTGTCATCCAGGCCTAAAAAATACAGCTTTACTGTTGTGGAGGATTTAAGTGATAAAAAGAAATAATGCAATTGGCATTGGTGATCATCCCTACAAGTTTTTCCCATTAATAGCACCTTCTGGGTCAAATGGGAAAATGGGTCAAAAACTGTTAACTTAAATTTACCAAATTGAAATACCAATCAATGGGTTTGTTCCCGTCACTCCTCTAACCTCCTCCAAGCTCCTCTAACCTCCTCTCGTTTAAAAAAATCGTTCCCGTCGCTCCTCCAAGCTCCTCCAAGCTCATCTTGATTTCACATCTCACCACCACTATTTGCCTCCTCCCTCATCCCAAACGAAAGTTGGTTTTTTGGAGGAGGCTCTTGCGTAGACATGTTTGGCGCACGAAGTACAAATGTGAATTGTTTATAAATGAGATTTGAGGGAAGTGGAAATGATTTTAGTGATTGATGACGATTGGATATCTTTAAATAGTAATGTTTGATATTAATCTAAGGTTATTTTATTAGAAAGCGATTATTATCTCTTGATTTATGTTTGCGCGCCATAAATCGCCGACCGTTACAGCCCGCAAACAGCTGATTTCCTCGCGAAAATGTTCCCGTGGCTCCTCTGAAACGGCTCTCCTCCAAGCTCATCCAACCTCATCCGAGATTTTTTGGGAGGAGCGACGGGAACAGACCCAATGCCAATCAAATGCTTGCCTTCCAGTACGAGTCAACCTAGAATCATTCAGCAAATTTAGCAAATTTGAAAGAATATAGAAAAACATCCAAGGAAAATAATCAAAAAGCCCTCACACTACAAATTTTACTCAATTTAGCCCTAGGTGTGCAAGACAAAAAAAAAATTGACTCAGAATTTCTTAAGTGTGACTGACCACCCCACTCAAGTTGGATATTTTTGTCAACACATGCCACATCAACATGCGAGAAGGATAGGTACAAATGAGATAATTTTGTGACCTTTCCTGCCTCAAACAATTAAGTTCCCCACGAAACAACGCACATAAAATGACAAAAGTAAAGTACCCACCTAACCTATCAGTGCTAATATACGGCGGCGAAACCGGCGCATACGTCCCATTCCCAGTGACGTCATTTGACCGTATCTACTCTGTAGCCAACTACGTCATGTGAATAACGACTTTTCCTATCCCCTGGCGCAAATGCTGTCCGATTATCCCAAATCATTATCCCCCAACAAAAGCTTCTACCAAACCTATCACGCCAATAACCTACTTTTGCAGTTATTCATCTTCGTGTTGTGGGGACAAGAGGCACGATGTCCTATAGCGCCCGTTCTCGTCGATTTCCACTCTGTATTCAGTCTGCTACAGGAGTGGAGTACGAGTACCAGATCACTGGTCGACTAGTCCCAGCGCGCGCATCCACGGTATATCGCGCATCCAGCCTTCTATCGTATAACGTTGACGACTCATCAGTCAGGAATTCAGCATTGTCTTTATATATTTGCAAGTTAACAGTGCAAGATGTGGCAGCGCTAGGGAGCTCTAGAAACACAAATACAAGATAAACACAAACATAAACAAATATCCACATGAGCAGCGTGTGTGTACACTGTGTTTGGCACGTCACTGATATTATAAACGTATGAATAAATGTATGAAAACGTATGACCTACGATAGGACATCGGATTTCGGAAGGCACTTTCTGTCGTTAATGCCTCCGCGGTCGCCGGTCGCCAGTCGCCGCTGGCTTGCATCCGCAAGTCGCACACAAAAGTCGCCATGAGATTTTGTTCAGACACGGTGGACGGCAAAGGTCCATCGACTAAGCACTCAGTTGTTGGTCCACAGCCATAATGGCATAATATTGCTGGTCCACGAAGTGCATCCACTCCGGCTGGATTATGCTGGTCCAGGGAACGCACACACAGGGGCAGAATGGTGCTGGTTCTTGGAAGACAGTCACTGTTCCCACTACCGCATCGATAGGTTCAACGGCTCTGAAACACAAGATAGCAACCGGTGAGCACGGCGGGAGTACAGAGAGGTCGGGAAATGACTGGTGACACTTTCCCTTAATTTAGAAGTTGGTAAGAAACTGCGAAGAATGTGACCAACTAAGACACGATGGCACAATTCATTCATCGCGGTGTCATGGGCGTAACGCTGAAAGACCTGGGCCATAAATCCCTTGTCCCCCACCCAACCGTGTGGGACAGACACGACACACACCACTTGAGTAAAGGACGTTTTTCCAGAGTAAATATAAACAGACCTCGCGACCAGCGGCGTAATCTGCCCATACCGCTATTAGATACCCCACTGCATTGATCCAGCACTCACCATCCATAGTTCGGCTGTAGTCGAGCGCGGCGGAGCACCGGCCGGAGGCCGCGTGCGCCGGCCTCGGCCGCCCGGTCACGGACCGAAGAGCTCCTCCTCCTCCGGCCAGCCGTGCCAGCAGCAGCGGTGACGGCGGCGCGGCGCTCGGCTCGGTCAGGTGGTACACAGGGCTGTCAGCTGGCCGCGGCGCCGTCCGGGGCGGCGGTGTTGGCAGTGTGGGCGCTGCGAGCCGCTCGGGACCCGCCAGCAGCGCGTCGATACCGTGCACCAGGGGGTGCCGGTCCGGCGCTGGGGCGGGACCCGACTGCGCGCCGCGCTGGGAGAGCCGGCGGACGGCGTCGGCCAGCCGGTCAGTACGCCGGGCGGGGCAGCCGGCCGGGGTGGGAGTGACAGCCGGAGGGGCGGCGCCGCACGGTCGGCGGCCCAGCCGGCGCGGGCAGACGGCTGGCGGACCGTCACCGGCCGGACGCCGGCTCCTTCGGCCACTGAACAGCGCGCCCGCCGGCTTCCTGCCCGGGTTCGTCTGCTTCCGTCCGGCCAGCCGCCACCGGCGCGGTGAGCGGAGCACCGCTGGGGGAAAACGGAGCATGTGAGAGGGACGGAGAACCGCTGAGGGTAAACATAGCACTGCTAAGAGGGAAATAGGACAACTCAGTAACAGGGTAAATAGATCACCGTGAGCGGAAATGAGCACCGTGAGGGGAACACAGCACCGGGAGGGAACGGAGCAGGGGGAAAACTGGCTATGGAATACTGCTGAGAGGGGTGCGATGTACCGTGAGGGGGGCTAGAGCACCGTGAGAAGGGACGGGACACTGCTGAGGGGAAACAGAGCTGCTGGGGTAGCAGGTAGCGACAATGTAACGGTAATAACGTTTCATTCTCCAAAACGGAACGGCAGTCGTTACAATGCTTCAAACGAGACACGTCCACGACAAACGGTGTATGTAAACGGATATCATAACAAAATTGATTGACGAATATAGTTATGTAGAGATAGTCCATTGTGCAGCATTGCCAGATAAAATTTTTCTTCTCTAGAGGCCGCAGAATGAAAGGCATCGTGCGTGTCCCGTCGTACTTACCCTGGAAACCGTGGACCTCGCCGAGCGGGGCCGTTACCGTCACCGTAGGCCAGGCCGGCTTTTTGGCCAGCGCCACCCAGCGGGCGGGCCGCTCCCTCAGCTGCGCCGGCGAGTGGGACAGCTCCAGCAACACGTCACCGTCTGGGGGAGGGGGAGTCAGAGGTGAGGTTGGGGAGAGGTAAGGTCGCAGTCCGGTTGACAGGACACAACTGACCGGGACCTGTCGGTATAGCGCGGTGAGACATGGACTATGGTCACAGCCACCCGCACAACCCGTCATGAATGTCCTATATGTGTGGTCTAATGAATAAGGCGTCTGTCTCGTAATCCGGTGGCGGCGAATTAAAAGCCAGAGCAGCCACGTCGTTTGAACCACGTTCCTATACATATTCAGCCAGCTGGCAACTGGCGAGAGAGGGCAACACTAGACCCGGGAAAGCCTTGTCGCCATTTGCTGGCAGTACATTCAACTGTTGATCAAAATTATCACCCTGAACCGGCACAGGCAAGGTAGGGTGATGGGTCCATGGTGGAAGTGCCATTCGCAACATGCACCACTTAGCATGGCACCTGGGCCCAGTGCCAACAATTCATCAATTCAGACTAAGGCTATTAAGAAAAAAATGTTACACAATCTAATATCAGTGCTGTGTGCTAAACCTACTTATCAGTTGAATTGAGCTTCTATAAATCGAGAAAATACAGGTAAATCACCAGTAGCTCCAGCTTCACAGAGGCACTCAACCAATCTAAAAAATTGTCATTTGCCCTAACAACGAGTGCCAGCAAGTATTGTGTGTCATCCAGCAACTTTGTGTGCTGGGGATAGCAGCACAGGCACAGCAGCTGATTGATATACATACCACGGCCAAAGAAGGAGAGTCGGCCACCAGATGCCTTTTGAGCCAGAGGAGGTACGTCTGGCTCCGAGAGAGGAGGGGAGAGAGCAGCAAAAGGTGCAGGCAGTAGTGGTGTCTGGGGCCGCGCCGGCCCTGCTGGCGCCGTCATGATGGTTGCGTCCACAGCATCTACCAGAAACAAAGAAGCTGCTTTGGGTCACCGAAGAAACTGGTAAGTACAACAAAAAAATATTTGTTCCTCTCAAACATAGAAATGGCAGTTAGCAGTTATAGCCACTTAAACTCAAAAACTTGTCAAGTCCAAACCAAAATATCTACAAAGCAATAGGTAGTGAGCAATAATTCTAGCTTATCAGAATGAAAGACAAATGAACCTTTTTACCTATGTATATCAACAAGTACCTGAATAAGCAAATCAAAAAAGCCTGTCTCGACTCTCACTGGGGTGATGCATCCTTTGACATCCCAGTCCAAGATTCGGACGCCGGTGAAAACAGAGCGCGGGAGGGCTTATTAGTCACGTAACATTTGGAGATTCTCCCCGTGGGCCTTCTACATGCTACACGTCACCTGTAAATTTCACGAACCTTGATCAAATCACCCCAGGCGCCCTGTTTTCACCGTCGTCCCAAGATTCATGACTGTCTCTAGTAAGGAGCTCGATGAGATCAGATCCCTATAGGCCTAATAGGCCTCGAAATTCTGTATTGGTAAGGTAAGGTAAGGTAAAAAACCAGCACTAGCCATCATCATGACACAGGTAAAAATACGCACTGGTGCCTGGCGCCTTGCGGCAGGTGGCGGTGTTTGTCCTTTCCCTTTGCATTGGCTCAAGGGACAACTTTAAAGCCTATCAAACAATTTTGAACAAATAAATAAATTAAAGCAGTGCAGTATTTAATGCAACAAGCTATAAACAGGAAGATGTGTAGTTATCCCATGACAACGGCAATTGTGATGCTGACAAATGGCTATGCTGATGTTGGGGACGAAGTGGAAGTTACAAGTAGGTTATAGGCACCTTCCAATAAAAATATGAAATACCTACCTATCAAAACAACGGCATCATTTTTCAAAATGTATAACAATTCAATTACCTAGTACTTTATTCCAACCAAATTCCAACAAATTCCAACAATACAGCGACCCCGAACCGAGAACACTTGTAGCCCACGAAGGCAACAGAAAATGTTCATCAATAACGGCGATCGTCGCTAGCGCGCGAGAAACGCAGCAACAGCACAATATTTACCAATCAAATTGCTTACTTTTGTACTGCTTTGGGAATCTCCACATATATTAGGAAGCTAGTACAGAAATAATGAAATTGGTGCGCAGGCTTCGCTACTAACTCGTTGCAAGTAAATTGCTATGTAGTCACGGTAGTCAATGCAGTCAGAAATTTTGCCACCTCCCTGCAACCTTTTCCTCCGTATTTGTTCCTACGATAACTTAAAAAAAAAAAAACAGGCATGGGCAGCCCCTCAGTCTCAGTGGTGCTCCGTACCATAAGGCGGACAGCGGACTACACATTTCGGTCTAGATTCTAGACCGTTCTAAGGTGTAACGCCTCAGTGTCAATTATACCTATGTGCCGCTATAATCTATATCGATGACATTTCATTCAATTCTCCCGAACCGGTAAGTGTATTTATTAACCAACTTGATTAACACACGTGAGCAATGAGTACATGTGAAGTTGATATCACTCGCGCCTCTCGCCAGTGCAGTGTGGACCCATTCAGGGTTTGGTAAAATTTTCCAGCGAAATTCTAACATGCGCTAATACACGGGAGCGG